TTCAGTGAAACTGAATATCCATTCTTGGTGTACACTGTTGGCAATTAATGTAGGAATGCAGTGTACTGTTCATGATGAAGAATATCTATTTGAAATTTAGGGCCAATTTCAGACTTAGTAAAACATTAGAGGCCTTCTCATTAAAATGATGATCAGGGCCTGGCCCGGTGGGGTAGTGGTTAAGTCCGCGTGCTCTACTTTGGCGGCCCTGGGGTTCACGGGTTTGGATCCTGGGCACTAACCTACATACCACTCATCAAGCCACGCTGTGGCGGTGTCCCATATACAAAATAGAGGAAGACTGGCACAGTTGTTAGCTCAGGGCCAATCTTCCTCACACAAAATAAAATAAAATGATGATCAACCCAAGGACAACTGCTATTATTTAATGTTGCCTTCCACCTTTTAGAAAACACAATAAGAAATAAATGATACATTAGAAATGAAGAGGGGCCAGCCGGGTGGCGCAAGAGGTTAAGTGCGCGCGCTCTGCTGCGGCGGCCCGGGGTTCGCCAGTTCGGATCTCGGGCACGCACCAACGCACCACTTGTCAGGTCATGCTGTGGCGGCGTCCCATGTAAAGTGGAGGAAGATGGGCACAGATGTTAGCCCAGGGCCAGTCTTCCTCAGCAAAAAGAGGAGGATCGGCAGATGTTAGCTCAGGGCCGATCTTTCTCACAAAAAAAAAAAAAAAAAGAAAAAAAGAGAATGCTGCTTCTGTGCAGGTAATATGATTAATTTTTAGGGTTTTCCAGGAAGCCAAGCTGAAAACCTGTTTCAACTCATAAGAGAGTTCAATTACCAATTACCTAACATACATTTTTAAAAAATCAATAGCTTACCTATCTACCTCCCCTGGGTGCAGGTGTCCCAATCCCCAACGTCATCCGCACTCAGTCCATGTGGAGCACGTGCGGTGATGCTTACTCCAGTGACAGGGGCGGGCTACGTGCCAGCAAGCGCCTGCCTGCGTGTGTGCCTGTCCTGGGGCCTCCTGGCTCTGCGGGTCTCCCAGCCACGCTGTCCCTAGTGGGCCTGCCCTGCCCCTAGGTCAACCACCCAGCCTGTAGCCCCCTTTCCTGGCCACACACCCACAACAGCGCACCATTCTGCCCTCCAGGCTGGGCACTGCCGGCTTCCAGCCTCCTCTAGGAACTCGCTGTCCTTCTTCTAAGGGTGTTTCAGGTGGCCCCAGCGCCCCCAAGAGGCCAGGCTCTGGGGTGGGCCAGCCCAGTATGACTGGGTTCCTCCTGCTCCTGGTGCTGCTGCAGCCTTAGACCTGGCAGCCTTGACTTCCACTTGTGTCACTGGGCCTCGTGAGAGTTAAAGGAGACCCACAAACTAGCTCCTAGGTCCTCTGACTCACACTTGCTGGCCTCACCATGGGCAGGGGGCGGCTAGTGCAGCAGCCACACTGACATTTGGGAAATGCCGTGGGCTTGGCCTGGCCAGGCAGGAGGTGTGAGCAGGACAGGACAGTGGGGGCGGGGTTATTCCACTGCAGGCTGACAGCAGGGCAGTGGGTTTGACAGAGAAATTCCGCTGGCCGGCCGGTGACCAACTGTGTGGCCGCAGGGCTAGAGCCCTTGAGAGCCGCAGGGCTCCACAGAGGAGACAAGCTAGGGGCCACGGTGGAGGCTGCTGGCTGCCTTCCTCCTCCCGAGACCCCAGTGCCGTGGTCCACGTGCTCCCACCTGATGGCTCACCCCAGAGCCCCTCAATCTATCTGCCTCTGGGCTCTTCCTTGTCCTGGAACCCACAGGGATCCAGCCAGCCCAGAACCTGGCATAGCGGAGGCATCAAGTCCTGGAGGCAGCTCTGATCCCTAACCTCCTGGCTGAACCCAAGCAAGCCGCGGCCCCTGTGGGCCTCAGTTTCCCCATGTGTACAACAAGGAGGCAGAACTAGGCAGTCTCCACAGGGCAGTCTCCACATTTCCACCCCTTGTGTTTATTTCTTCCTTCCTTCTTTCCTCACTTATTCAATCAACAAACATCCATGAGACCCTGCTGACCTGTGCTGTACCCTTGGAAATGGAAGAACACATAGACCTCAGCGTCTGCCAGGGGAGACAGATGTAACACCACAGTGCAGTGTGAGCAACTCGGCACTAGGGCTGTGTGCTGGGTGCCGAGGAGGTACAAGGGTGGGGGAACTAACTCTGTAAGGAGAAGTCAGGGAGAGCTTCTTGGAGGAGGTGATTTTGAGATGGGCTTCCAAGGATGACCAGGGGTTTTCCAGTGGGTTAAGAGAAGAAAGAGCAGAGAGATATAACAGGTCTCCTGGCTGACATCAAAGTCCCGACAGACCCAGCCCTCCTCTGGTCACTCACCAGCAGCTCCCCCGGAGGGTGAGGCCCAAGGAGCCCAGATGTGGAGGGTGCAGGCAGCTTCCACAGGTACCCCAGCTCCGTCGTGGGCCATGTCACCCCAGTCAAACCCTACTCATCCCAAAGCCAATGTATGACTCTCTCCCCTAAGTGGCCCTCCCAGACTGCCCAGCCCTCAAAGACTCTGCATCACTGTGGTCCCTCCGCTCGGGGGGTATGCAACCTGCAGTCAGTGCTGTCCCCAGTGCTCCCGCTCCAGCCCCCAACGCACACAGCAGCCAAGTCTACACAAGATGCTGCGGCTCCTCAACTGACCCTGCCTCCTCTGGCGGAGCTCACACGAAGGTCCGGCACCCGGAGCAGGCAGGCCCAGCGAGACCGGGGCACAGCCTGGGGCAGGCTGGGCCCAGGCCTGGGCTGTCCTGAGCCAGCAGGGGCAGGTGTAGGCAGTGTGGCCAGGAGGTAGCAAGGGGCCCGCAGGACCGAGCAAGCCGGAGCTCCAAATTAGCACTCCAGGCCAGACCTCTCCCCGAACTCCACACTGCCCACCCCACGGCCAGGCCACATTCCCCTGGGGCTGTTGAACTGCCCCCGCCTCCTGCCTGCCCCCACCTGCTCCACCTGCATCCCTTCCTGCCTCCTCGAGCACAACGCCCTCCCTCTGGAGTGGGCCTGCCTCCCCCCCATCTCCTGCATCACATCCCTGCCACCAGCAAGGCCTCTTGCTTTACCTTCAGAGCGCGTCCAAATGGGCCCTTCTCTCCTCCTCCACTGCTACCTCCCTGGTCTGAGCCCCTGGGCCACTGCGCTGGCCCCACTGACCTCTCACCCTTGCCTGCTCTGCTCCTAACACTCGGCCTCCGGTCTGGCCCCTGACCCACAGGTGGCTTCCCCTTCAAAGCCCTGCCCGGCCTTCTCCGGGTGTGTCCCTCTGCTCCCACTGTCACTTATCTCCCTCGCTCCCCTCCAACAGGTCCTCACGCAAGTGTCACACATGGTGAGGCCTCCCTTGACCGCCCTACCCAAGGTACAAACAGCAGCCCCACACCAGTGGTCAGTATGATGGGCACCAAATGTGTCACACTCCTGCTTGCCAGGATTGTCATTACCGGTCCTAGTGAGATTGGGTGGAGCCATGTGACTCATCTGGCTCAAGAGCAGTGAGAAGTGACATGTGGCACTGAGCTGGGGCACTAAAATGCTAGTGCAGGAGGCTCTCTCCCCCGCTGCCATGGGGCCTGTCAGCCTTGAGTGAGGAAGGCGTGGAGCAGGGCCCAGCCAACGGACGACAGACACACACGTGAGTGAAAATTCCAATCTGTTGTTAGAAGCCACTGGATTGGGGGCTGTTTTGTTACTGCAGATAACCTAACCCCTCCTGACTGTGCACCTGGGATATGCTCTATTCCTCTTTCCTGCTTCACTTTTTCTCTTTAGCACTTATCACATAGCCCATATTTCATTTATTCATTGGGCTTTTTCTCCTGTCTCCCTCGCTAGAAGGTGAGCTCTGTGACATGTGCTGTACAAATACATGACATGTATTTGGATCCCTGCCGAATCCACAGGGCTTGCACACAGCAGGTGCTCAATAAATGTGTGCTGAACATGTGAACAAATGAAGGAATAAATAAGTCCTGCTTCTTCAGTGCAGCCAGGGCTGGCTGGCCTGGTTGAGGACTCTTTTGCACCCCCATCTGCCCTGGGCCTGAGGTCCCAGGTCTGTGCTGGTCAGCTACATGCTAAGTGGGCAAGGAACAGTGGCCGCCCCTGAATCACACTGCCAGGCCCATCTCAGAGGGACACATGGAACAAACAGCCATGGGAATGCGACACTGCCTCCCAGCCTCCCCTCCTGCAGAAAGGAAGCTGCCTCTCACCTTGGAGCCCACACTCCTTGTAGCCCCACTCGGAGCTCACTCTCCTCAAATACACAAGCATTTGCAGGCCCACGCAGGCACAATCCTGCCCCCACACACCTCTCCTGCTCTCACTCACACACACACCGTATATAAACACGCCCGCATTCTCACATACTCTCACTCTCGCCCACACATCGCACATACACACATACACACCTCCCACGTGCGGCTGCATCGCAGACCTCCCACTCTCCGGACCTGCCCACCTCCTCCAGGGCACACAGTGGTTCTCGGCCCCTCGAGTCTGGGGAAGGATCCAGGGTCGTCTCGGCTCTTACAAGACTGACTGTGTCAGTTCCAGGGCAGCCACTCTCCCGCCGGCCAGCTGCTGAAGCTGCTGTCTCCTGCTACCGGGCACCGTTCAGCCGGCAGAGGTCCCTATCAGGTCTGCAGGTGCCACTCAGCCATAGACGATCACTGGCGTCGGCAGGCCATGCCAGGAGGGGCAGTGGCAGCCCGGGCAGCCCACCCGTTCTGAGCCCCGGGCGCCGCCCACCTGGCAACAGGTGCCCCAGGGGGGCAGGCAGAGGGAGTGGCTCCCAAGCAAATGTTCCCCCCCGGCCAAGGCCAGAGATGTTCCGGATGGTCGCATTCCTCGCCGGGAGGGCAGCACCCTTTCCCGAGCTCGGCGGCGCAGGAACCCCCGCGCCCCGCGGTCCTGCTGCAACCACGGGGTTGCCCTGCGAGAGCACCTACGTCGCCGCCTCTGCGACCCGCCGCCCCACACCTGCCACGCGCCGCAGCCCTACCTGGGGCTCCAGAAACATCCTGGCTGCCGGCTCCCCGCGCCGTCTCCTGCGCCGCCGGCGTCCCGCAGGCGGCCGCTCCCCTCCGGGCGAGGAAGCTCCCG